GTACCAGGTTGACTCACCATCAGTTAACATGGATGCTGGTAGTGCTAAGATTCCGTTGCCGGACCTACCCATTAGTGAGGATCCACCCTCCCAAACTGTAGTTGGGAGGGTGATCTTCAAGCTTGGAGTCATTGTAGAGCACCTCTGGGCAATATCAAGGTTACTGATCTTGACTTTGATGATGATGTTGCTATTCTATCTAAGTCTTTGGAAACCTTAGTGGTGGCTCTGGATGCATTTAGTAATGAAGCGTAGCCCTTGGGTCTAGGGGTTTCCTGAACCAAGACCAAGATCCAAGATTTGGGGACTTGCTAGGTGAACCTGCTTGGCCGGTAAGTGATTGTGGGGAGGACATCGAAGTCACAGAGAGCTTTACATACCTTGGTAGTGTAAATCATACCTGTGGGCAGTCAGACTAGGAAGTCAGCAGACGGATTGGCCTGGCAGCAAGGGTCATGAAGTCTCTTGACAAGAGTATTTGGTGAATCCAATACCTGTGCAGGCTCTGATAATGCCAATTTCGCTATGCGGTAGTGAAACCTGGGCATTATGCATCGAGACAAGATTCCAGGGTACTGCTTAGCCTCCAGCTTCCAATACCGTATAGTTAAACAGGCAGTGTCAGGGCCTCGAAGACACGTAGCTTGGTCCTTCTTTGCAAGTACCTACATCTTCAAATACTCTTGCCGCGAGAGTTCATGACCCTGTTGCCAGGCCAATCCGTCTACTGTTTTCCTGGTCTGATAGCCCAGTTATGAACTACACTACCAAGGTATGTAAAGCTCTCTGTGACTTCACTGTCGTCGCTGCAGGCACGTACCGATCAAACAGGTTCTCCTAGCAGGCCCCCAAAGTCCTGGATTTTAGTCTTGGTCCAGGAAATCTCTAGACCCAGGTGCTTCGCTTCACTGTTAAATGCATTTACAGCCACGACTAGGCTTTCCAAAGATCCAGATAGATTAGCCACATCGTCAGCAAAGTCAAGATCAGTAACCTTGATATTGCCCAGAGTTGCTCCACAATGAGTTTGGACAGTAGCTCTGCCCAGTATCCAGTCTATACAAGTGTTGAAAATTATTGGTATAAGGTCACAGCCTTGCCTCACTCCTGAACCAGCAGGAAAAAAATTGGGCAAGCTCCCCCCACACTTTACAGCACTTTCAGTAACAATATACAGGCTTGCTATTAATTCAGTAATCCTTGTAATTCATCTCAATATCAGGATCTCCCGGAGTGATTCCCGATGCACCACATCGAACGCCTTCTTGAGGTCAAGTAAGATGTAAACAGCCTATGACCGAGCTCATGACAGCGCTCTACAATGACTCCAAACACCAGGATATTGTGGACTTAACAGGAGTGAATCCAGATTGCTCCGGCCTCTGGTGTCTCACCAGGTGGTCTCTGATACATCTCAGAAAGATGTGAATGAGAACCTTACTTAGTATACTTAGAAGAGTAATGCCTCGATGATTGCTGCAGGTCCATCGATTCCCTTTCCCCTTCCAGAAAGGGATGACCACACTCCTCAACAGGTCAAGGAGGAATGATACCAGATTTCCAGGTGGCAGCCAGAACAGCATGCAAAGCCTATGCCATAGGTTCACCACCAACCTTTAACAGTTCAACTGCCTTCAGCTGGGAAATTCCCCTCTAACTTCAGTTAGAGTGGGGGGATCCTCATTGATGGGTGGGTCCAGGTACAACTGCTCACAATACTCAGCCCAACGCTCCTGCACTTCATCAGGATCTGAGATTATCTGACTACTTTCTGAGCAGATCAATTCTTGAGCTGCATCAAGCCTTTCACGCTTGAAAGTGTCCTACAGAAGTACAGAGTTCCACCATGTCGCCGATCGGTACAAAACGACCAGAGATTGCCTCAGCAAAACCTCCCTTCTTCAAGCTGTCTACATGAAAAACCCTTGGGAGATTGGGGATTTTTGAAGTGGACGCGGAGGGTAGCCACAATTAATCTATGATCAATTAATCTATGATCCAATGCACCCTGCTGTTCTGGAGGATCCTCTAACACGTGCTAACGAGGATGTGGTCGATCTCATTGACTGCATTACTGCATCGCTGTACCCTATCCAATGATGCGGGTTAGAGCGCTGGTACCAAAAGCCAGAAATCCATGATTTTTTGTAAAAAGGAGACTGTTGGCACCAGCTTCTGAGCCATGAAGACCGATAGGCATCTCATAGCCAGCTTGATCGCAGCCAGATACCACAGTGAAGTTTCCCAGAACAATACAGGTATTTCCCCGAGGACAACTGTCCATCACAGATGCAAGTTTGGCGTAAAGCATCTCATTTACGTCAAATTTACAAACATCTGTAGAAGCATATACAGCGGTGAGACATGAAGCTACATGCAGTCTTCAGTCTCAATACCATTATACACTCATCAGCCAAAGTAGCCTCTACTACCAGGGGCTGAAGGCTGCTGGAGCTAGTTATGGCTACCTCTTGAAGATGGTTATCATCACTGCCCGACT